CGAAAGACTCGCGGAAAGGCCTCAGGCACGCGTATTGGGAACGAGTCGGAAAACGCTTCTCGGGACCCGCTGCAACCTCAAGCAGGCTGCTGCGAGGATGCCTGACCGGGAGCCTTGGAGAAGAATTGGCGTAGCCCTGCCTGCCGGCTTCTTATCTAGCAGCCCTCTCCGTTTTGTTTCCCACTGACCGCAAAGCCGAGATCGATGCTCTCGACCGCACGGTACGTGGGCTCCCGCGGGAGCCTACCAGACTGTTATCTCGAAAATCATCTCTGAGAACACTCAGCCCTCGGCGTCCAGCACGAAGTCCGCGCAGGACACGGGAATTCAGACCAAGGTGCGGCGGAGGACATCCCAGGATGTGGTCTACTTCGGCGGTGCTGACGGCAAGGCGGCAACATCGGTGGCTGGGCTGGGCGCTCTCGCCGTGGCGCCGACCGCGCCCGGCGCCAGGCGCAGGGTCGCCCAGGAGCGCGGCGACGAGGGCAGTGGCGCCGAGCGCCACGGCGCTGATGGTGAGGGCGCTGATGGCGCCACGGCGCCATGTCGATGAGAACGCTGACGCCGACGACGGCACTGACGACGAGGGCAGCAGCAAGATGGGCAGCATCGGCACGCCGCCGAGCGAGGTGAAGGAGGCGGCTGACGTGCGGTGTTCAGAGCGGGCTCGTTGCTGCCGGCCCAAAGGCCCAGGCGTTGATGGCGCCCAGTCCTCCTGCAAGAGGTTCAGTCCGACGACTTTGAGGGCAAGCGACCTTCGTTAGGCGCACGCGTCGGCGCGCAAATGGGCGGATGGAGGCGCACAGATGGGTGCAGCTGCAGCTGCGAAAAGTACTTGGCAGCTGCAGCTGCGAAAGTACCTGCTGGTAAGAAAGTATCAACGCGCAAGGCATGCGAGAGGAAGGCTGGCGATAACCGTCACCCCCACACTTCTTGCTCTCCTCCTCGTCCTCATCCTCATCCTCACTCTCCTTCTCATCATCATCATCATCATCATCATCATCATCATCATCATCATCATCATCACCACAACCAACATAATCATCAACATCATCACCATTATCATCAATATCATCACCATCACCATCACCATCAACATCACCATCACCATCACTATCACCATCATCATAACCATCACCATCACCATAACCTTCACCACTACCACAACCACCATCATTATACTTATATACATACTCACCACCATCAACATCATCATCACCATCCTCATCGCCATCATCATCATCATCACCATCATCACCATCAACGCCACCACCACTATCATCATCATTACCATCATCATCACAATGATCATCATCACCACCATCACCATCATCACCATCACTATCACCATCATCATCATAACCATCATCGCCACCACCACCATCATCGTCATCATGCTCATCACCATCTTCATCACCACCGTCATCATCAGCATCATCGTCATCTCCATCATCACACTAATCATGATCACCTCCATCACCATCACCATCACCCTCACCCATCGCCGTCGTCATCATCATTACCATCACCATCAGCATCATTAGCAACGACATCAGCATCAGCATCGGCATCATCATCACCATCATCATCATAACGATAATCGCCACTACCATCATCGTGATCATGTCATCACCAACATCATCACCAGCATCATCATCAACATCATCACAGTCACCTTCATTTTCACAACCATCATAATCTTTACACTTACCATTGCCATCACCACTATCATCATCGCCATCACCACCATCGTCATCATCATCAGTGCCATCATCAACATCGGCATCAGCATCGACAATATCGACACCAACTTCACCATCAACATCAATACCATCATAACCACCACGAACATCATCATCACCATCACCATCAACAACAACATCACCAACATCATCCCCCTCATCCGCCTCCTCGTTACTGCTATCGCGTTGTCAGCCCTTACGCTACATACCGCATTGACAATGCTTGCCATGCTTATCGTTCATATTGTGTGCCGCACATTGGCTTTGCCGTATCTTCGATGTTTACCGCGTGTATCGTGTTTGCCATGTTCGTTCGCTGCCCAAATACTGTACATGCAATACGCTGCAACTGTTGGTGCTTGCCATCTCTACCGTGCACTCCGTGCTTGCAGTGCTTGCCTTCCACGGTGTGCAGCGAAGATGCAGGCGATTGATGATGGGGGAAGTCCCACCAGCTCTCTGGGCGGCAGGTGGTCTAACGAGGGCCTCTTTTCTCTTCCACGACCCCTCTTTCTTTCGGGGAGGGGAACCCTCCCCCTCCCCTCCCTGGCTTTTTGGCCGGGGTGTCAGAGGGTCATTTTTTCGGCCCCTGGGAGGGTCACTTTTTGACACCCTTCACGAGGATCGTGGCCCCCGAGGGGGGGAGCTACATTTAGGACCCGCCTCTTTTAACCGACCGCCTCCAAGATGGCCCCCAAAGCCTCCCCCAGGGCTTCCAACAGGCCCCCAGGAGACACCCAGAAGGCACCCAAGATGATCTCCAATTTGGCTCAAGATAATCCAAGCTGGCTCAAAATGGCTTCCAAAATGCTCCAAGAGGCTCCCAAACCGGTCCAAAACGACTCGACTGCCAAGAAGCCAAAATCCTTGGACTATGCGTGTCTCTTCCTCTCTCCCCCCATCAGCTCTCATGGGCATCGTTTCTGGATGGGCTGGTGGGGTTACTTTCTTATTTTGGTACGCGGGCGCGCGAAGACGAGTCGAACGCCGAGCAAGCTGGGGCGGGCCGCAAACTGGCGGGGATACTTTTTCACTCGCGAACGCAAGCGGAAGGACCGCGCGCCGTCCAAAGCTACGGCTAACGAGCACGAGCCTAAATTGCACGCGAGCTGGTGGGGATACTTGTCTTTGTTCGCGAGCGCGCAATGGTGCCAGGCGCCGTCCAGAAACGCGGCTAACAAGCAACGGCCTAGATTCCGCACGAGAGCACACAGGAGCGGGCTACGCTGAGGCTCAGGAGACGCGGTGGACCAGGAAGAGGTCGAAGTGCAGCGCCAAAGCGGCGAAATTCATGAAGTCCACGTACTCGAAGACCGCCGTGACGTAGCCGAAGAGAACGACGAACAGCGACATGTAGGCGCTCGACGGACTGGGCTCCGGATCGCCAAGCGCCCACAATGGCCAAGGCAGGGGCGTGGAAGCGGCGGGAGCGCCGCCACGGGCGGGGGGACAGGGGGAAGACAGCGCCAAGGCGGCCCAGAGGCAGCAGAGGCGGGGGACCAGCGGAAGAATGCCTTGCGCGCCTGTCCCCATGTCGGCATTTGCTGTCGTTGTCTGCAGTTGAGACGTCGGCTGCAGCCCGCGGCTCGAGGAACACCTGCCCGCGGCACCTCGCCGTCGCCGCGCCCGCGCCCGCCCGCGCCCCGCGCACATCGCCCGCGCCCGCGGCCGCAGTCTCGCTGCCATGCCGCCTTCGGCCCCGTGGCAATACAGCCGAAAATATGATCAAGAGGACTAGAATTTAAGACATCTGGGGCAACTTACCTGAGGTTTCCTAAAAGAAACCTGACTTCTGCTGTTACCGCTGGGGGGACGAACGTGCTCAAGAGACATGGCCAGCTCTCTGGCAAGTTATTTAAGAAACGTCTGCCCAACTTTTCGGGAGGAGGTATCTTGATCAGATGCTCGACCTTACTCCGTTTCAATGGCTGCAGCCCTGTGGGCGTGGGAACCGCGACCGCAGGAGAATAAGCAGCAGCAGCAGCCGTCCTTCCATCGCTTGGACGTCCGCCCCCCTGTGCATTTGTCGGTCTCGTGTGCTTGCTCCGCAAGACGACCCGCGATGCTCCTCGATGGTCCTCGCCGAGAAAAGAGAAATGCGCACGCTCGAGCGCAGCCAAGCCGCAGGGTCAGCAGCAGCAGCAGCAGCAGCAGCAGCAGCAGCAGCAGCAGCAGCCGCAGCAGCTGCAGCCGTGGCGGCTCCCAGCACCGGCAGGGCGAAGGCCCCGCCACGGCTGCGGCGCGGGCCCGCCCGCGGCCCTCCGAAGGCGCCCGCTGCGGGCGGGCTCGGCGCCTGCCCCGCCGGAGGGAGGCGCGGCCTCCCGCGCCTCCCTCTCCCGACCTCGCCTCTCCGAGGCGGCGGGAGGCTTGCCGTCGCTCGGACGTCCATTTCCCGTGCACTTTTCGGTGTCGTGCGTGTTCTTTTTTTTGGCTCGATGGTCCAAGGATGGTCCTCGATGGTTCTGGCCGAGAAGAAGCGCACACGTCCGAGCGATGCCAGGGAGGGGGGCGAATAGCCCAGGGGAGATCAAAACAGGCACCCAGAGGGGCGCCGATGATCCACGCCTTCGAGCAGGCTCCCGGGCGAGTGTGTGTCGTGCCCGCCCCTGGGGCTACTCGCCCGGATCGCCGCCGCCGACCCCTGCCCGCGCGCCCCAGGCCCTGTGCCCTGGGGGACTCGCCTCCGGGCTTCGCCGGCGGCCCACGAGCCCGCCGGCGACATCTGACCGTCCTCTGTGGCCCGCCGGCGGCGCAGGGGCAAGAGGCATCGCCGGCGAGCCGAGGGGGGGAAGGACCCTGACCTTCCAGAGAGCTATTTTTTAGCACTGGAGACCTAAAAGCCTGAAAAGCTGAGCGAAACAGCCCAAAACCAAGACGTAGAAGAGCTCTGGGACAGGTCTTCAAGTCGGGTGCTATTTGTTAGCCCTCCTGGAGGGTCTAGGGAGAGGGGGCGGGCCTTCTCCGAAGGCGGCGGGGCTCCTCAGAGGTCCCGCGGCCTCCCGAGCCCTCCGAGCAGGCCCGCCCCCTCTCGGACTTCCCCCCCCTCTGGGCGCGCCGCCGCCGGATGGGATCGGGGAGACCGACGGGTGCCCACACCGCTGCTCCCCGGACCTCTCCCGGGGTGCATTCTGGCTCGGATTTCGAGGTGAATTCCGCGGTGGCGACGAGGGCCTCCCAGGAGGCCCCCAACGGGGGCAAACGAGGGAAGGGCAGCGGATGGAGGACGGGGAGGGAGGGGAGGGCTGCCGAGGCGCCGGCAGCAGGCCCGTCAGGGCGCCGAGGAGGAGCAAGAGTCGCCCAGGCCTGGGGCGCCCCAACGGCACTGGCCCGGCGCGGAGGCGGCGAGGGCGCTCGTGAGGGATGGGGCAGTCCCAGGCCTGGAGCGGGGGGTCCAGCGCCGGTTCGAGGAATCCGCGCGGACCTCCGAGTTCTCATGCTTATGCCACTTTTTGTTCCCCTACGATGGGAGCGTGCACGCCGGAGGCCCCCTGGGCGAGGTGGTGGCCTTCGGCTGCTCGGCCTGCCGGCCGCTGTGCGGTGCGACGGCGGCGGCCTGCGAGCTCGGGGCACGGCCTCTCCCCCCGGGCGGCCGCCGCCGAGCTCGCCTCTCGCCGCCCCTGCGGGGCCCCTCCAGCCAGCAGCGCCCCACACCCGTCCTTGCCATCGCTCGGGCGCCCCTTCCGCGTGCATCGTTCGGCCTCGTGCGTGCCCTCTTTTGCTCGCTGGTCCGGGATGCTCCTCGAGGGTCCTCGCCGAGAGCAAGCGGCGCACGTCCGAGCGATGCCAAGCTGCGGCCTCCTCCTCTGCTCGGCTACACGTGGCCCGAGGCAGGAGGCCTTTGGCGCGCGACTCGCCGAGCGCTGCGTGCTGCGGCAGCAGCGCGATGCGTGCCTGGGCTTGCCCGAACCCCGCGCTCCCCGACAAGGTACCGCACGCCAGAAGGCCGCTTCGGCGAAGGGCCGCTCCCACGAGCAACCGACCGGGCTTCGCTCCGAACGTGGGTCCCCAAAGGGAAACCGGACTCCTCTCCCCAAGACTGGCGATCCATCCCGAGCCACCTCTTGGCGCCCTGGGGCCTGGAAGAAGGGCCCCTGGCGTGCAGAGGGCCCAAGCTCTCCGTCGTGGCTTTTGCACGGCGCGGGGGGGGGGCATGAGCGGAGGACGGGGGGGGCGGGCAGCCCTTGGGCCAGAGACCCCCGCGGGGCCATGTGAAGCTGATGATCCAGAGGGCTCCGCGTACGAGGGCCGTGACGTAAAAGAAGTTCCACACGGGCTTGAACAGCGCCTGTGCCGGAAGAGGCGGTGGAGAGGGAGTGTATCCGGGTCGCTCGACTTGGCTATTCGCGCCTCGCGACGCGCGGTCATCTTCGCGCTCTCACGCCGCCTCCCTGGGGAGGAAAGCTCCGCGGCTCAAACTGCGAAACGTGGTAGCTCCCGCGGGCGATCCGGGTTATGATGTGGAGGAGAACGGGTGGGAGGATGAGGGTGGGCCTCCATGCCCATCGTCCAGATCGAGTCCTCTGGCTTTTCCTCGCCCAGGTCGACCCCGAATGTGTCGTACAGCTTCTTTCGCTCGGGCTCGGACAGTATATCCTTCCAGCGGGAGAAGAAGCAGCCAAACCCCACTGGTAACCTCCCAAACAGTCGAAACAGCTCCTGAACTCAGAGCCCCCTGTACAAGCTTGCCGCCCCTCTTAAATCAATCAGCGTGGGAGGGGGCTGCCTTCGTCTACTGCTCGTTAGCTCATCCATGTGCTTTGATGCTTCAGTTGGGTGGCTAATACTGCGAGGAGTGCTGCACATCCTTGCAGTTCATGCTCTGAGGGGTGTTTTCCCTGGTTTTCTGTGGCACAACGTCTAGCACGTGTGACAATCATAGGCCGCGATTGCTGCATCAGGCCTTAAATTAGCATCACTCGTTAGCCTTTCCGAGGACAAGTGGCACCTGCTCATCTCCATTCGACGCTTCCAAACATTTTAAAGCTACGGGGGGCGTCCATGAGGTCGTTCCATCCGAAACAAACAGCAACCTGGAAACGAATGCTCCCGCAGCGTATGATGGTATTACGGTCACGAGCTCTTGCTGAGCGTGTCGCGGCGGCGACCCTGGCGACACACTATGCCCTGTGAACTGATAACGTGTCGCTCCGTTCCGTAGGGCGGGGCGTGGAGAAAAACTCGGGATGTTGACGCGTGGGGACGGGAAATGGTTAGCGTGTCACGCCGAAGCGTGGTGGGCCACAACTGGCGGAACGACACGCCAGGGCAACATTTCCCGACCGTAACGTCCAAGCGCAACGGCCCCGCACACATCGCTGAAGCAAAGGATGCTCACAATAGAGTAGACAGTCTCGTGCTCGGCACAGCCGCGTTGTACATGGGGGGGAATTGTCCCGGATCTCCAGTGCTCGGCATAAACGCACTAGGGAGCAAGAAGAGTTACAGTTGGAGCTCGAGTACAAGAAGCCTTCCCCCAAAAACCCAACCCTGCGACCCCAGGACGTCCACTGACTCTTGGTGCGGGAACGCCACGCTCTCAATGGCAGAACCGTCGAAGCCCAAGAAACCCAGGGCACCCTGGAGGCAAGCAGGGTGTTTTCTTGGCATGGGTTTCCACTGTAGAGCCCACACAAATCTCAGGAGGGGAAAAAAAGCACAAGGAATCGCCGACTCCCCGGAAAATCTGAGAAAGTATGGGAAGCGGGGCGGGGGGAAGGGAAGACGAACATCCATAACGTGTCAGATCGAATGGGGGATCCTGGCATCTGTGTCTGTTTCTTCGTGTGTCCCTGGGCCCCTTCAAAACCGCAGCCAACTCCATAACGCACGAGCGAGTGTCCCCTCGCCCGAGGAGCGCGTCCACCGCATGCGGCGCGGAGCCGCTTGCAGTCTCCGTCGCTTCACGCGACGCGGAGATCCACACGAGCAGCACTCCGCTCCGCCATGCAGGAAGGTGATGCTGATGCTCTGGTGCGGAGGCGCTTCAGAGGCGTCGCGGCGACAAGCTCACGTCGCCATCCACACCCGCGACTCCATCTCAAACGACACGGATATTCCAGCGACCGACTCCGTTCTCCCCAGAGCAACTCCTCTCTAGGCTTAAGTCGGGCGTGTCCCCCTACAGGGGGATTTTCGACGAAAAATAATCAATAACCCACAAATGCACCAAAAAGGTCAAACAACAAAATAGTCCCCAGACTATTTTTGGAATATTTTTGGATTATTCTTGAGTATTTTTCATTTTTCGTCGAAGATCCCCCTGTAGGGGGACAGGCCCGACTGAAGTCTAGGCCCACGGGGCTCTGCTCTCGGGGTCACGGGACGACACAGTCCGCTGCACTCATGGGACTCCGAGTCCCAGGTAGGGAGGGGGAGGAGGAGGAGGAGGAGGAGGAGGAGGAGGAGGAGGAGGAGGAGGAGGAGGGGGAGGGGAGGAGGAGGAGGAGGAAGGGCGAAGAAGGAGGAGGAGGAGGAGGAGGAGGAGGAGGAGGAGGAGGAGGAGGCCCCAAGACTTGACGAACGAACAACGCACACCCATACCCATCGGGGGGGGGGGCGGCATGCACGGTCACACAGTTCACTTCTTCTCGCACGCGAGGGACGGGGCACGCGACAGTCGCATCCTCCTTCGCGGAGAAAGCATCGTGCTACAGGTCACGGGCCGGGAGCGGGATGCCCAACAGCGGGAGCTGTTCGCGTCTGGGGGCGGAGGCCTCCCCCCGTCCGAGGTCATCCCTAGAATTTCCTGACATCTACAATCAAAAACCCTAATAAGGACGCGCGGTAAGGACGCAAGACCCTTGGAAGCCGAAGTTGGGATTTTTGGGGCGGCGGACGACGAAAACCCCAAGGACGCAAGAGCAAGGAAGAGCAAGGACGCAAGGGTACCCTGAGCAAAGTCGCGCGTCCTTATTCGGGTTTTTGACTGTATGGGGGGCTGAGGAAATGCAGAGCAAGAACGACTCGGGCGCACCTCCGAGCCAACTTCGGGTGGCCCTCGATCTACAATCTCAGGAAAGCCAGGGACAACTGCTGGGAGGCTCATCTTTCGCTCGTGAACTCGGCTGTATGCTTTCCAACGTTGGTAGGGTGTGGGGATGTTTCCGACCGCCCCTCCTTGGCGAGCTTGACCGCGTTGAACCTTTCCTCGGCGTCTGTCTTCGCTCTGCCGCTCAGCGCGCCCACCTTGTCCGGATGATGCAACAACGACTTTCTCTTGAACGCCTTTTTGATTTCATCCTCGGTAGCATCAAGACCTATACCGAGAGTATCATATGCGTCAATGTCCATCCCAGAGGTCATTGCATACAACCATCGTCCATGGCTGGGTACAGAGCTGCTTGAGCCAAATGGGCTCCAATGGCGACGAACACGCGAATGAGAAAACGATCGGCTGGACGCCGGCAACGACACAACGTAGACCAATAAAACTGACATAACAAACGCTTCATATGAATAATTATCGGGGACGTGCAAGCAAAACATCGGTCACGAAGGATATTATCATGGACCCTGCGCCACCATGTCCGGTCTTAGGTCGGATCAATGGTATTGCTTGCTGAGGCGGGAATGGTGGGAGCAAGGGCTGATGGAACCAGAATGCAAGAAATACATTCATTGAGAAGATGTTCGCAAGCTGATCTCGAGTGAAAGCTGGTAGTCCTGGCCGCCGGCCACAGCCTCTTCCAACTCACCCATCACCTGGTGTGCTCCGCATGCTGAGGATATCAGAGCACCGCTTGGAGCAGAGAGACAATATGATCGACCTCTGCGTGCATCGCTCTGTCCGCCCTTTTCTTGGCTGATCCATACTGCACGGCAACCTTTTGTGCTTGTTTTGTGTACTGTTTGGTCCGCGCCTGCCCGACTGACTCCGCCCAATATTGCTGCACAATCTGGGCTAGTTTCCCCACGAGATGACCGAGCATATTTAAACATAATCCCATCTGGAGCTGGAGTGCGATTGTACATACACTCGATCTGCAATCGATGTGCCGTCTAGGCGCGGTTCCTGTCTGTCTGTCTGTTTGTCTGTAGATGGGAAGCTGCAAAACATGTAAGTCCGTGCGTGCCCTGACATGACTGCAAGCTCGGCGCTGCGCACTGCAAGCCAAACAGTAGATCCGGTGATGATTTGGTCGGCAGCCTGTCGCCGATTCCCAGTCCCCGCTGCACATGCAGTCCGCGGCGTTACGCAACGAATTCCCCGCCGACGCTAAACTTGCAGCGTAGCCCGACCTGCCCCCGTCCAAGTACTGCTGCTTTCACCGGTATTTCTTAAGATGCTGCAACAACTCAAGGGTTAGACACGTGCTGCACACCACCACATTTGCATGACAATGCCAAAACCATTTTCAACGCGTGATAACATCAGACGCCTCTGGAACCGCTGATGGCGTTTGGCGGTGTCTTTTTTTACATCTGCCACGTGTCATGTTCGTCGTCGGCGCCGCCGTCCTCATTGCTATGCACGTGGTTCTTTTGCTCCAGAGTGCCGCTGCCCTTTTGTTGTTCCCCGTGGCCAAGGCCCTCATGGGGATGATGTTTCCTGCCTCCGTCATTCTGGGCTCCTTGGTAACGGAAAGAGCGAGGTACGAGCGATGACGTTGTGTGTTTGGCAAAGCTCCTTAAGGGGGGGCCCAAGGGGGTGCGTACCGCGCACGAATGCGTGTAAATGGCCGTTTTGGAAGTTTTCCCAAGGTTTTTGCATGTTTTTCGGTTTTCTCCTCTTTCCCGTCCCAGAAGAGCCCAAGACCGCCCAAGACGGCCCAAGAGGCCCCCAAGAAGCTCCCAAGAGCCCCCCAAGAGGCGCCCAAGGGGCGTCCCTGGAGGGCCCCAGGAGGGCAACATCATAGATTTTCTATTGGAAAACGGACAGTTTTAGCATATACGGCTCTGCGGCTTTCACGGTGTTAACGACGGCCCCAAAGGCCCCCAAGACCGCCCCAAAACGGCCCAAGAGGCTCCCAAGAGACCCCCAAAACGGCCCAAGAGGGCCCCCAGACGGCCCAAGAGGCGCCCAAGACGGCCCAAGAGGGCCCCAAGACGGCCCCGAAGGGGGGACCACGAACCGCAAAGTCTAGCCTATCGTCCCAAGACGCTCCCGGGAGGTCCCCACAGCCCCCAAAGAAGCCCCAAGAGGCCCTCAAGAGGCGTCCCACGAGGCCAACAGGAGGCCAAAATCATAGATTTTCGATGGGAAAACGTACATTTTTAGCATATGCGGCTCTGCGGCTTTCACGGCGTCGACGACGGCCCAAGAGGCCCCCAAGACCGCCCCAAGACGGCCCAAGAGGCTCCCAAGAGGCCCCCAAAACGGCCCAAGAGGACCCCCAGACTGCCAAAGAGGCGCCCAAGACGGCCCAAGAGGGCCCCAAGACGGCCCCAAGAGGGGGACCACGAACCCGGCAGTCCAGCCTTTCGCCGAAAGACGCTCCCGGGAGGCCCCCACAGACCCCCAAGAAGCCCCAAGAGGCCCCCAGGAGGCCTCCCAGAGGCCACCAGGAGGGCCCAAAAAGGGCCCCAATAGGACTCCCACGAAGGCCCAGAGACGCCAAGAGCGATCGGTATCGCAAAAAGCTCTTCACACCAAGGCTCCCCAGAGCGAACGGTGAAGTAAACAAGCTGATAAGACCCAGGGTCCCAGCAGAGAGCGGTGACGTAACAAATTTCTGATACCAAGGCCCGGCCAAGGCTCCGGAACGGGCGGCAACGCAACCATCTCTGAACCCCAAGGCTCCCAAGAGCAAGGGGTGACGTGACCAGCTCTCAACGCCAAGGCTCCCGGTACGAACGGTGGTGTGAATAATTTCGGTTTCCGTTGCTGCAACGCTCTTTCAATTTCTGTGCCGGGCTAGGTAACGGAAAGAGCGAGGTACGAGCGATGACGTGGTGTGTTGGGCGAAGCCCCTTAAAAAGGGGTTCCAGGGGGGGTTCGTACCGCGCACGAATGAATATTAATGGCCGTTTTGGGGTTTTCCCTAGGGTTTTTGCATGTTTTTCGGATTCTCCTTCAAGACGGCCCAGGAGCGCTCCAAGAGAGCCCAAGACCGCCCAAGACGGCCCAAGAGACCCCCAAGAGGCCCCTAAGAGGCGCCCAAGGGGCGCCCCAAGAAGCCTGAATACTAGATTTTCTATCGGAAACGTACATTTCTAGCATATGCGGCTCTGCGGCTTTCACGGCGTTGACGACGCCCCAAGAGGCCCCCAAGACCGCCCCAAGACGGCCCAAGAGGCTCCCAAGAGGCCCCCAAAACGGCCCAAGAGGGCCCCCAGACGGCCCAAGAGGCGCCCAAGACGGCCCAAGAGGGCCCCAAGAGGGGTACCACGAACCGAAAAGTCTAGCCTATCGCCCAAAGACGCTCCCGGGAGGCCCCCACAGCCCCCCAAGAAGCCCCAAGAGGCTCCTAAGAGGCGTTCCACGAGGCCATCAGGAGGCCAAAATCACAAATTTTCTTTAGGGAAACGTGCATTTTGAGCATGCACGGCTCTGCGGCTTTCACGGCGTTGAAGACGGTCCAAGAGGCCCCCAAGACCGCCCCAAGACGGCCCAAGAGGCTCCCAAGAGGCCCCCCAAACGGACCAAGAGGACCCCCAGACGGCCAAAGAGGCGCCCAAGACGGCCCAAGAGGGCCCCAAGACGGCCCCAAGAGGGGGACCACGAACCCGAAAGTCTAGCCTTTCGCCCCAAGACGCTTCCAGGAGGCCCCAAGAGCCCCCCAAGAAGCCCCAAGAGGCCCCCAAGAGGTTCCCAAAAGGCCTCCAAAGGGGCTCCAAAAGGGCCGCAATAGGACTCCCAAGAAGGCCCAGAGACGCCAAATACAGAGCGATCGGTATCGCAAAAAGCTCTTCACACCAAGGCTCCCAAGAGCGAACGGTGACGTGAACAAGCTGAAAGACCAAGGATCCCAGCAGAGAGCGGTGACGTAACAAGTTCCTGACACCAAGGCCCAGCCAAAGCTCAGGAACGGGCGGCAACGCAACAGTCTCTGAATCCCACGGCTCCCAAGAGCGAGGGGTGACGTAACCAGCTCTCAACGCCAAGGCTCCCGGTACGAACGGTGGTGTGCGTAATTTCGGTTTCTGTATCTGAGGCACTCTTTCCGTTTCTGTGCCGGGCCAGGTCTACTGGCCTCATTTCTTTTCTCAACTTTCCATTGCGCGCTCTCCATGTTTCTGTTTGTATGCCCCGCCCAATTCTTTGATTCTCAACTGAGGAGTACCGCCCTCGCCTACCCAACACGCAACATTTCCAACCGCATATTTTTTGTTGATGTTTTTGTGTAGATTTGACGTCTCACCATTGTTGAGGCCTCCGCACAGTCTGTCTAAACACATCTGAACTTGTCGGCATCGGAGCTAGAAGCGGGAACAACAGCGCCGTACCATATTCCAACTACAACGTGCGGTGCAGACGTTGCGATGCGATATCCACGGCTTCGGAATATATCAACAGCAATATTGTAAAACAAAAAAACACCCGATGACAGGACAATCGTCAGGGCGAGATGAGATCGTCCTCCATCGTCCACCCCCCCCATGAGTTGACATCTCTATCATGTGAGCAGCCTCATCCTCCCCGCCCCCCAGCCCAGACGCAGCCCGTCCCTCCAGAGGACCTGCCAGTGACGGTCTTGGCACCCACGTTGAGGAGCTCATCGGCCACGATCCAGAGCTCCCTGCCGAGGGCAACTGAGAGGTCCTCCGGCCGCGCCGGCCTGCCTTCCGACCCTCGCGCCCCCTCTGCCGACGCCTGCGCCTTCGGCCTCGTCGACTTGGGGCGCCGCGCGCGAGTCCCGTGGCCCAGGGTGCCGCGAGACCACGCCTGTCCCAAGGAGGGGGGCCCTGCCCTGGCGGCGGCCAGCGCGAAAGGCGCCGACTGATGCCCAGGAGGCGGCAGCCGCCAGGGCCACGGCCACGGCCGAGGTGGTGAGCGAGGCTTAGGTGGAAAGCAGGCATGATCGACCCACGAATCCGGAAAGGAACACAGAAACGTAAGGCATGGCTGCGTCTTCAAGGACACCTGATGGGGCGACGGGCAATTGCAAGGCTGAATGTATGGATCTTGACGTACCGTGTCAAGGGCTGTGCTGTGCTGCGCCGTGCTGAACTGCGACGTGCCATGCCGCGATTGTGCTCTATAGCGTTGTGGATCGAGTCCTCCTTTGCATCCGAGTCCTGATCGAACTGATCTGGATCTTAAGCTCGAGCTGCCTGAGCACACAATAGCTGCCCCAGAGCTACTTGACGGGGGGACATGCCAGGGGGACGCGCCGCGGAACGTCCCAAGGGACGCGCCAGGGGTCGTGCCAAGGAACGTGCCACGGGGACGCATCGCGCGACGTACCAAAAGTACGCGCTACGGAACGTGCCAATGGACATGCTACGGGACGCGCCAGGAGAAGCGCCGCGCGACGTGCCATGGGGACTCGCCATGGGACGCGCCACGGAACGTGCCAAGTTGCAAGGCTGAGTGTATCGATCTTGATGTACCATACCAAAGGCTGTGCTGCGCTGCGCCGTGCTGAATTGCGACGTGCCATGCCGCGATTGTGCTCTATATGTAGCGTTG